ATTCTGAAATTCTATCCTCTGAGGTGCAAGTTTGAAGGAACTTATAGAAACTTCCAAGATAACTGTTATCAAAGACTCTTATATAAGAATCAGTTTTACTGGGGGAAAAACTCTCTCAGACAGATTTTCAAATGAAACAGCTTTGATGTAGCACAAGACAAGAGCATGGGCATTTTCATTTGGAAGAAACTGGGCATAGGGTTCAAACATCTTTCATGTCTTCAAAGACACGTCATGACATTTCAGATGAGGGTCGTGCACTCAAAAGATCTGCAAGCATATACCTTGGTTTATAAGAAACTACGCTTGCACTTGCATCAAGGTGTCATATTGCACAAATTTTTGCACATCAGTTTCACCTGCCCCTGCATCAGAGAAGCGGAAATGCAGCAGCATTCTGAAATATGTATATCATAAATACGTGCACTGCTCACTGAGATGAAAGAAATAATCGCATCTTTGACAGGAGCAAATGGTATTTACTTTATTACATTATATATATGGTAGGCATACTCATCATGTTTATTAAAGAGCAAAATATGAGGAAAACTTCAAAGAATTATCTTTTTTCCTTATCTATTTTGCATGAATGTTTTCTGTTTCAATTTTTACGTAATAGTTAAACATAAACTACTTAAGTGTCAAAAAAAAATAAGTGCCTCATTTCATTATGCTTAATGGCTCCTACATTATAGGGAAAAAAATAAAAATGTTTACTGCAGGATAGGAAATAACTTGCTACCAGATAGAGCTACTCAGAGTAATCCTAATGTCAGATTGCACTTGTCATGGAGACTGAAGTTAAATGGCAAAATATTTATGTGTTTATATTCCAGTCTGTTTTTGCATCATTATAGCTGCTAACCCCAGAATGTTGAGGTGGGGACTTTTATTTAAGGTTGTTGAGTCGACTTGAGGATTTAATCAGCCATAAAAACGACGTTTTTGCAGAAAATTGACCCCAATTTGCGCATATATCAAGCACATTGCTGTTACCCGAAACTGCACTTTCATTTACTGGATTTACTGTGTGACACCTTAAATCTGGATATGGTTGGAGCGATAAGGTGGTATTATTGCATACACAGAAGCTTTGCTATGTCAAAATTAATTTGTAATTCAGAGATGTGGTTTGCCATATGTGACAGCCAAATTTGATGTAAATCCCCAAGAGATGGCTGAGTAATGTTGGGTGGGGCTGTGATGATCCTGCAGATGGTTTGATGCTGTTTACAGTATGAAGTTTGTGTCGTATCATGTGTTTGTGTTGTGTCTCGGACACGTGGGGAAGCTGTCTGCTGCACCGTCAGGACTTATGGGATAGATATTAAACTGGTTTTGTGTACATACAAAGCTGCATGCTTCTGTAACGGATTTTAGCAGCTAATAGGATTTGCATCTTTACCAACATGTGCGAGTGTACATGTGTGTTTTGGAGACTGTTTGCCAGATCCTTGAAGGATTGCCCGTGTTACTGAGAGTCCATGCTTAGCTATCCTGGATTCATATTAGATTCACTGACTCACCTTCAGAAACATTATAGTACATGTCCTGATTCACCTCTTGAGTTTCAGGCTTAAACTAGTGAGTGGGTTTAGTTTTACACCACTTTTAACAATATTCCAGCAATATTATGGCAGTAGACACCACAAATGCGCTTCACACTTTGTACCCATGTGGGGAATGGAACCTAGGCCTTTCAGCATGACGAGCAAATGCTTTAACCACTAGGCTACCCCACCGCCCCTAAAACTAAGCCCAGTTAATATTACTATTTATTACCCACGTGGTCAATGTATGGGTAGTTGCATACTAATCTTGTACGTCACACGAGTGTCGTATCGCGTTGATCTGTGTCGTAACGACTTGACCTGAGATTCTAACGATTTGATTGGATGACCGATGACCTCTCAATTAGGTCACATTCTGACATAACTATTTTTTCATTCATAACAAACACGTGAATTCATTCATTCTACAACTTAAATGCATTGTGGGAATGTAAACATCGCGAATGTTGCCGTGTCGCTGTTTAATTGTGAGTCGAACTGAGACATTATAGCCGTCTAAAAACATAAACGCAATGTTTCCACCAGTGATGTTAGCGAATGAAGCAACTGCAAACCAAGAAACGGGTGCTACGGAGTAGTTTACTGTAGGAGGCTGTACGAGGGTGATGACAACTGACATGCATCGTGACGCCGGGTTACCAAGGCAGTGACGTCATTACAGTGTGACGCCATGCAAATATTGTACTACAGTACAAAACTCTTCCGCAACCTCTGTATGAAACCCGGTTTCGGTTTGAAACCAATTAACAAAAATACGCTATTTTGTCAATTTAATGCATGTAAGACGTGGGTAATAAATAAAATACCACACTTTCGGTCTCATTACATACGAATTATACGAAACTCGTGACCTTCCGATGTTATCTGACCTCGCTTTCGCTCGGTCAGATACCATAGGAAGGACACTCGTTTCGTATAATTCGTATGTAATGAGACCTTGTGTAGTAATCTCTATATATGCCATATTACACCAGTAATGCGGTGTGCATTGATTGGCTTATATTGATGCTAGTTTCTGTTTTTTTCATTACATAGTTCCTTGTAAACTAATTTCTGCCATGACTTCTTTGATTGGCATTCAAAAAGTTAAGGAGATGAAGAATGAGGACAATTTTATGGATATACAACTTCTTTATTAGGCGACGTTTTGACATAGATCCTAATGTCGTCACCACTTGCTTGACAACGACCATACAGAATAAAGAAGTTGTATTTCCAAAAACTGTCCTCATTCTTAATTTCTGACATCTTTTGGATTAAATGACGTTGAAAAATAATGGCTCATACATCAGTCAATAGAACTGATTCAGCAAAAGAAGGCTGCATCCATGCAAGGGGGTTGGTTGAGCGGTGGAAGTGGTTGGTCAACTCACATAACTATAAGGTTGATTCTTAACATCACATCAACTTGTCATTCCTAGTGTACACACTATTTTGCTCACTACATTATCATGAGCTATTTAAGACCCATCTGCAACATTGTTTAGAGTGTTGCTTGGAATCATAGATGGGATTCAACCCTCAAACAGTACTAGAATCTGTACTTTACTGTGAATGAGTTGAGTTTTACGCCGCACTCAACAATATTCCAGCTATATGGCGGCGGTCTGTAAATAATTGAGTCTGGACCAGACAATCCAGTGATCAACAGCATGAGCATCGACCTGGGCAACTGGGAACCGATGACATGTGTCAACCAAGCCAGCGATCCTGACCACCCGATCCCGTTTGTTGCCTTTTACGACAAGCATGGTTTACTGAAGGTTCATTCTAACCCGGACCTTCACGGGTATACTTTACTGAGAAAGTGTAATCCCAATATAACATATGTTGCATTTGACTACTTTCTAAAAGGCATTATGTTCTTAACATTTTACTTGATGTAACATAGGGCCTTCTACCATCTACTTAGTGTCTCTTTGGATGTCAAAGGGTATAGATGTTGGATTCACAGAAACAGTGAATTTGAAATAATTACATAAGACTCACTTCAGTTTCTGTTTTGATAAGAAATACAATCAACATTTGGACACTTCACTTCAGATATTAGGGAGATTTGTGAAAATAGGCCAAATTGATTCAGGTTAATAATGTTGATAAGATTGGAGTATTTTCATCTGAAGCAACTCTAGGTATTTTTCATCCTTGTAAATATACATTATATGTTTCACCTCTTTGGGAAGGATGTGTCTTTGAATGTGAAAAATGTCAATGGCTTAGCCCTATGTATTATAAATATTCCTTAAATAGACACTTACATCAGAGCTGGTAGTGAAGCAGATGGGATATTCAGAACCTGCAATGAAAACTTCAACATGCAGATGGCACCAGGCATGAGTTCATAAGATTTAATGTTTGTTTAAATTTCATGGTTTGTTGCATCTTGATAAAACACTTCCATGTAATGAACAATTAAGACGAACACATTTCAAGTTCAACATGCTTTTACATTAACAGACACTACCAAATGAAGCCTGGTTCAGTTTAATGGCTGTCACAGTTTTTATATTTCAGTAACTATATATCTGTAAACTTGTCATAAATCTCATGATTTGAGATTGCCCCCTGCTCTCCAGTTTCGCTGATATTGCTGTGAAAATACTGTGATATGTTTTCTAAAAACATATGACTCACCTATGAGTGCATTTTTGTACATAGACACACATCCCATCTGCAGTACCCCCAAAGTATATATTTACCCATGTTGTGAAGCATTAAGCCTGTGTGCACTCTGTAACTTGGATGACTCCTTGCTGTTACATTGAATGAATGATAAGAACTGGTCTGGATTATTTTGGGCCATTATCAATTAATTTTGCACTCAGTATGTGCTAAAAAAGAGGTTTAGCTGAGGCAAGGAGTACAGCCACTGTTGACTTTATTTCAGCAATTTATTTTTGCAATTCTTGGAGATACATTCTTTTTAAAAATGATACAGCTAAGGTATGGAAAGTTGTTTTAAGGAAACTTGTATCTGTTTCGGTGCTAGTTTCCAGACCACTTGTCTTAACAGCAGTGGCTGATAGCAATGAGAACAGAATGTTTGGATTTTTTAGGCATTGAAATTTTGTCATGAGGGCATTAGGTGGACATTTATTCAGATTAATTCAGACAACTACTTTTTGCTGATGACTTAACAGGTTGATGTCATATATATGATCTGACTTGTGGAAATGTTTCTTTCTTTTTTTCAAATTCTGAGGAAACAGAATTTTCATGCATGAGGAGATGCTTATTTTCGGACATTTTGACATTGAAACAATTAATTGTTGTTGCTTCAGAAAGGTAGTCATTGTATTTTCAGACAATTATAAAACAGGTTTTTGATGTGGTCGGTTTTGACAGTTTATCACTGCTGTTCTCATTGATTAGTGTTAAATTTGTTTACCATTATTGTGTTTTTCAGACAGTTAATCCTTGTTGTTTCAGAGCTAAGGGTGTCTGTGGTGTATACAATGGCACAATATGTGCCAAGACTTTGGCTGGGCGCCGGGTGTTCTACAACAGCTCCCTGAGCGATCCACGGAATGACCCTGAGGCCATTGTCCGGGCTCTTTGGAAAGAAATGTTGGACACTGGATTGTTTGACCAGTACTGCCAGGAACCAGCGGAGAAACTCATGTGTCACTATGCCTTCATGGATTGTGAGGAGAAGAATGGACAGGTCATATACAAGCCAATCTGCAGGTGAGTTGTGTCATTTGCCCTTCTGGGATCATTGGACCTTTGAGCTTGTTAGGGGCTGTGGGTCGCCTAGTGGTTAAAGCATTTGCTCATCATGCCATGTCATCTCATGCCATGATATTGCTGGTCCTACCCTGTCCTACCCTACCCTACCCTACCCTACCCTACCCTACCCTACCCTGCCCTGCCCTGCCCTCCTACCCCTACCCTACCCTACCCTACCCTGCCCCTACTACCCTGCCCTACCCTACCCTACCCTACCCTACCCTACCCTACCCTACCCTACAACCATGCATGAGGAAGCTTAGTGGTAATTCTAGGACAGATTAGTACCCATGTGCTTCATGCCTTTCATAGGGATTAATGGGTACAACAAGGACTGGTCAGCTCGGAGTCAGTATAATGTGTCTGAGTGGGGTATTCATGCTTCACTGCGGCATGGTATCTCAGTGGGCTAGCACTATAAAACCAGCTTCAGTCTGGGCTAGTACAAGCAGCCACACATACACACGCATGCACGTCGTCATATGAGCGAAATATTCTCAAGCACGACATTAAACCCAATTTCACCTCACCTCACCTCATAGGTTAACTATAGATCATCTGCATGGGTGATTTCGTTGATTGGGTCTCGACACGCATCCAGAGAGATTGTGGTCATTCTATCAACCACAACGACCTGGAGTGTCTGGTCCAGGTTCAACATTATCAACCAATGATTTGCTTTCTTAGTGCTTCGTTACATTTTCTGTCACCCACTCCCAACTGACTCATTCATAAATAATCAGAGACACTACTTATCTTGGAAAAACTTCTTGTCTCTGAATTTGAACATATGTTACAGGAAAAACAGTTCAAATTTCATAAAAAATATAAAAGAAGAAAGTTTCTTCATTTTGTATGATGTAATCTAGAATTGCCATATTTTGAAGACTTTGCACAAGCTGTATTTGGTATATTTGTTTCAGGGTTTGTATGGCAGACAATGCTAATCTCAATCCAACCGTTCATCCTCCCTGTCAGTTTTAGAAATCTGACTGAAACATTTTAACTCATAACATTTGGAAACATGACTGAAACCTTCACCTCAACAGCATGAAGCCATGTGACTAAATTTTCTTTAAAAAAAATTAAAATTTAACTTTAATTTTTACCCATGACCTGTGAAAGTGAAGATTAAATGTTTCATGTGGTAGTTCAAGAGACAACCAATGACATAGTGAACACCCAGGGTAGAGAACACTGGAGGCATTGAGTGCTATAATAATGCTTGAATTATGTATACTATTATCTATCAAACATGTTCCAACTTTCCAGTCAGCAAGACAGAAGATCTTTTCTCCAAAATATCCATTTCCTTGTACAAATTATCTTGATATACATGAGAGGACAATTATCTTCTGTCACTGTATCAGTGAAACCTAAATATATGTAATTTGAGAAAACGCAATCCTTGATTTTTTTCTGCCATTGGACAAATTCTAACCCTGGTTACGACCTTTGGCAACAAATTACAGTTTATAATTTTAAGTTATCACATGCTGGAGACTTATGGTCCGTCAGTTATCCTTATCGTGAACCCGAGATCAGAAACTGTCACTTGGGAACATCGCCTCAACATGAACACATTTGTTATACACATTCGCTGTAACGGTGTGACAGGAACAGATCGTTTTGATGAAGACGTGTTTATTCAGTGTTAGGTCTATTTAGATTTGAGGGTAAATATTTCCAGACTAAGCTAGTTGTTATATGCTCCAAGTTCATTTTTACTCAGGCGATTTGATGATGATGAATATTTTGTGATTGTGGTTTTGGTTTGCGAAAGTTTGTAGGAATTATATAAACAAGAAGAAAGAGAAGTGCACTCAGCGACCCAAAGCTGGAGCAACAATAAACAGACAAGGAGGACCTTGGGGAAACAAGAATGACTTCCATGATGTGTGGGGACCCGAGTTTTGTAAATTGGCTCTTTATACATTTCCAGATTTGTGTTTGTGGATTCATTTGTAAGCTGTTTTGAGGGTAAAATCCTGTTTTGATTTAACTTTAATGAAAAACATGCCCTGTGAATAATACTGCTTGGTTGATGTGCTGGGAACATGGGAAAACGTGGGAAAATATTTTCTGACTCTTGCATGTTCCTTAATTGTTATTACAATATGGTATGGTAAAGGATTTGATATGGAAGTAGAAAAACATTTCAGAATCAGAATACTGTGGGTTTCTTTAGTTGATAAAGCACTTGATAAAGAATTGTCATTCAAAAAGTATATATTCTACAGATTGAAACTATTTTACAAGATAATCTCTCTTCATATTCATGGGGGTCTCTGAAACCTTTTTTGTGCCATATTTTGAATGATTTTTTTTTCAAAGATATTAATTTAGGACCTTAGGCATAATGTGCTTTTTTAAGTTGTTGCCAAGTTACCTACCACATCACACTGGTTTCTCATTTTCCTGAACAACATATTGACTTTGGAAATAAAGTACTCGACTTGAAAATGGATAAGAACGAAAAGGTTCCGTTACAGAATTAATAGAACATAAATATGAAAACAAATATGTTTCCCTGACACATCCGGCTGGTAATTAGCCTGTCAATAAATCAACAACAGGTGGCTCCAGACCAGAGACTTATCTCTCAGGGTGTTGTGGCAGGGAATGCCTGGAAGATAAATATGGTGGGATATATAAGGATTCTTTATTAACACTGATAAAAAATTTCTTAGTGGTGGATGAATATAAGTTCAGAATGTAAGCAGTTTTTGAGACTAAGACAAGTTCCAGTTTCATGTGCATGACCCATATGTACGGATTTCCGTTAGATTAAGTGTACTGGTGTTAGGAATAACAGCTTGCCTGTCATCCAGTGGCTGGCAATATTTCAGGTGGACCAGTCACATCAATGGAGGCAATATTCCTGTGAATGCAAGATGGCCATTTAATACATTTTGCTCAAAGCCATGATTTTTAAGTTAGAAATTTGTCAGTGAAGAAGATTTTTACTGAAAATTGTACCTTCTTTGAGGTTTAATGAGGTTTTATCAACTCCACATAATTGTGAATGCTGAAATATTTTAACCCATAGGTATTTCAAATTCACTTGTTCTGTTGCTCGTAGTCTTTATGGCCAGTTATGTATCTGAGATACCGGTATACACGACATTCCATCACAGCTGTCAAAGACAAGGACAACAAGGCCATGCTTGTATATTTTGGTTGACTTTCCGGAGCCAAAAGACACAGAAAATTCATTATCCATGTAAAATATTTTAATTTCATTGGTCAATGACGCTTTAACAAGTTTCCGTGTCACACCTCCCAAGAGGGTGACAACTGGAAAAAATATTACAGATTGTACAGATTTATTTTAGTGACCTTCACTGCTTTGTTTAAGTTATTTTATACATTTAGTGGTTTGCACACTCAAATTAAACATAATTAACCATTTTTATAGCAGTTTTGAGCTTGTCAGAGTTTGTTTCACTGATTTTAAAAATCCAGTAAAGAGGCAGACGCCATTTTGTTTACATGTCATGTAGTCGGTCACAATCTTTAACATAAAATAAAATGATGTTTCTCTATGGCCATCTGAAAGTAAATATGGTAAATGTAGATGTATATTGTGTTACAGCAGTCCTGCCCATTGACTAGGGGAAAATGTATTTTGTGGATCCAGCTCTTTAAATTTTACAGAGGAGAGAAATGTCTTGTGCAATAAAATGAGTTGGTTTAAAGTTACCGTGGAAACACAAGGAATCCTCCATTTTCACTCTAAATTAAGAATTAAAAAAGACTACTTTTTTAAAAAGTTTGAATCTGTTTTGCTTTAAAAAAGTACTGTTATCAGTCCTTGGCGATAAGGTATCGCCATAGACAGTTGCAAAACAAAGCACCCAAAAATGGTTTTGACACTAATGTGAAGTCCCTAGAAAACAACCTTACATATGGCAGCCATCTTGCAATCTCAGAAATTGTTGAAAACATGCCAGTTTTCTTGTGAAAAACTTTTCAAAACACGTTGTATTGGTTGTAGTTTCTGAAGTGACTTTTTTCTTTTGTTACTAATGTAATGCTAGGTTGACCTTTGATCGGTGCACCATTTAATTTTCTTGACATTTTGAATTTGTTGTTGACAAGTCCTGAGGCAAGGTGGTGTCAGAAGTTTCTAACCTGAAGGTCCAATCGTTGACATTATATACCATAAAATGTTGCTTTCATTATCAAATACAAGCAGATTAGGGGGGGCACTTTGCCCTGAAACCTTATAGCCCATTGTTTGATTACAAACAGTGATGAAATAAACATTTGGTTTTAGTCACCTTTCAACTGGTGGGAAAATGAAAAATGTACAGACTGTTTGGGTTTAGTACCATCGTTTACTCAAATATCTGATTGAGATTCAGTCTATTGTTGGAAATTGAGAAATTTGAAATTAAGTTTCCTGATGGTTTTGTTTGTTTTTTTGTTTGGAACAGAAATTTTAAAAATAATTTTCTTGTTTGAAATTAGGTTCCTGCAATAATGAATGAAAATATATTTATATTTATAAACATTTTGATGAATTCACATTTTTAATTCTTTTGCATAAAGGTACAGTTTATGTAGTAAACATGATTGCAATTAGAACCTGACACCTTTTCAGTTTAGTTGTCTTGAAAAAAAGTCAAAACTCTACACGTCGCTCCTGTTCATTTCCAGAGAAAAAAAATGTCAAGTGTATTCTCAAGGCGAAAAAAATAGGGTAAAAAAACAGTGATGTGTGTGAATGTGAATTTAAACCGGACATGTTTTTTCTCCTGGTGGTTTTTTATTTTCAGTTCTGTGAAACTTTACGCTGTAGAGGGGCACCCTGCAAGCTTGTAAAAAGTTCTTTCTACAATCATTCTGAGCTGAAAAACATGGCCTCGAGACATTTTTATGTGTTGAAGTAGTTGTGTGGTGCTGTTGTGTTATGTTATATGGCAGTAGTAGTTCCTTCCATGGGAAGGTTTCAC